TGACGCCACTTCAGAAGCGAGGCAGCGCCGGGAAGTCTCAGAAGTCTGGAAGGTCGAAGTCTGGGAAGTCTGAAAGATCGAAGTCTTCAAAGTCAAAGCGCAAGGGGAAGTCATCTCGATCAAGTCGCAGCAAGTCTCGTCGTGGCAAGGGTAGCAAGAGCAGCAGAAGCAAGAGCAGGAGCAGGAGCAAGAGCAAGAGAGGAAAGTCGTCGTCGAAGAGCGGCAGGTCTAGGAAGTCTAGAAGATCTAAATCTAAAAAGTCGCGCCGCAGTAAGAGTAAGAGAAGCAAAAAGGGCAAGAGGAGCAAGTCCTCCCGAGTAAGTTCACTCAGACAGCTATGATAGATGCATTTCCCTGAAGACTGAACATTTTTCAGTCCTCAAGAAGTAAGAGCAGAAGGAGCAAGTCGTAAGCTTTCCCTCTCTCAGTACTACATGAGCTCGTCGTAATCGTGAACGTTCCAGGAAACGAGGATCAAGTTCCCGAAGGTCGAAGTCTAGCAGGAGCGCTAGGGTAAGTGTCATACAACATGATCGACCGCTCGGAAACATGAATTCTGGAAGCAGCCCGCCTTCGTGAAAAGCTGGTTGAAAATGGATTGACTTCAGGATCAACCCTTAGTCCACGAAGGTTGTGATACAGTAGAGGGGAGTAGCATGAACGAAGCAGGCAACTATCACACACCTTACCCACACCTGTCCGTCTTCTAAAGACCATTCCAACTACTTTGGAGCAGCCCGAATGAAGGTGTGAAGTAATCACCCCACTTCTAGCCTTCGTAGCTCCTGGAACTTTGATGTGCATAAGTCAGAGGGCTGAAACCCATGACCCCAGCGATGGATAGGTGCGGAACTGGCTGCGTTTCTGATCAGGAGCGAGCTGACGTCCAACGTCAGGAGTGGGCTCTGCCCTAGTGATGCTTATTCTCACTAAAACCTGCCAATTTCAGGCATCTGGTGCATCTCTTCCAGGTGAGTGAAACCTTGAAACTTACTGAGTCTTCGTGAATGGTTCACTTCGAACCCACTTCTAAATCCCCTTCTAAAACCCCTGATGAGATCTAGATATTGAGCGTGGGTTCAACTACACCACTTTCGCACTTCAGCCCGCCTCTCTAGCACATGCACTTCAAAATGGACGCTACTTTCTCGCTCTCAGTATCAATTACTATTTCACATGGCTGTGAGGAGTGAGCGGTGTGAAGTGTGGAAACGGTTATAGAGCGCCCACAAGCGACGATCTGATATCCATACGTCATTCCCTTTGCGTTCAAGCTAAACCATCTGAGCTTCGTGTGGAGCCTTGCGAGCTGAGCTACAAGGCAATTGGTGGCCTGAAGGGAGTGAACGTCGTCAACGACACCCAGGAGCGCAAGTTCTTCAAGGTGAGCACTGTTTCTTTTGGGAACGGCAATTGGGAGCCGATCCGTTGGCGCTGAAACATGGGTCATTCCAGGTGAAATGTTCGGATAATATGTTGTATCGTGTGAATCCTGTGTTTGGAGTGGTTGAACCGGGCAAGTCGTCGAGGATTGATATTCTGCGACAAAACGGTGGTGCTAAGATTGATAAGATTGTTCTCGTCACAACTAAGGTGAGCTCATGGCCAGTGATAGAGCAGTGATGGCGCTGTTTGTAGTACGGTAGTGAATGCTGTTCATTTTCAGGCTGAGGATGGCGAGACGCCATCACGCGATGTGTTCAACCAAGGAAGAAATACTGAAATGATGGTGTTGCCATTGCTCGTGCAGGAATGATTACCCCTAATTTATCGACTTTTAGTAATAAAGGGGTTGAAATATCTGCAGTGGAATGTTATTCGAGAGCCACCGTGATTGCAATAAAGATGCCCCATCCAGCTAGATGCTCAAATGTGATTGAACACAACAAATTATTCTGCTCACAGTGAGAAGTAGCTAGTGACTGTACTAGAAATTGGAGCATGAGTGAGGGAGACATATATGGGTCTCGGCTTTCCGGGCATCTACAACGTTAGCATGCTCAGA